TCCAGCTGTCGAGACCTTTGAAACACAAAACCAGAATCACACAAATATATTCTGCTGCTGTTAGCACAGCCTGTAATTTAGTTTCTGCATAGAGGATCCAACTGTGCACAATATATGCTAAACACATGCAAAGCGGTGGGTTAAATAAATGAGGCCACTCTACGCATTCATCTTAAGCATTAGTGCTCGTCAAAGACATGCAGAAGAGAGAGGTTGCCAGGGGCAACAAGACGACGAGCTGGCTTTCAGGGTGGCTTGAGGTTTTTCTTCAACACGTGCAAAAATAAATGATGCACTTTGAGCAATAACTGCTATTGAGCTTTTTATTGTTAACTGTATTACTGCTGATATGACTGCTTGGTTAAGAAAGCAAGATGTTTATTCATTAACTCAACTACTGGCCGTTTATGGGGGTCACAGTGTTCAGACTTACGCCACCATGAGATCGGACTCCTCTGAGAGCAGACTGTTCTTCTCCTGGACCAGATCAATCCACTGATCAATCATTTCTGGGTCTGAACCTAAAACACACATACATCCACACGCAGTTATAACAAGATCTCTTTAATCTCAGTCGCCGCCACACTTTGACTTCTTTCAACCAACCTATAGTGTGTTCTGGGATGCTTATAAAACAGTACTGAAGGAGTTTCCATGCACGCAGAGCACAACGGAAGCTTTGAAATGGATTTAATTTAAAGAAATTCATATGCAAAGAAAAAATAAATAAATAAATAAATACATTTAAGCATTAATTTGAAATATTAAGTCTTGTGCGACTATCTGATAAACATTTAAAAAAAAGCACATTCATGTTCATTGAAACTGTCTTATGTTAAAAAAATCTGTTGAATGTTGTTCTAATGTTAGACAGAAATATGTATTATACAATAAATAAATTATACACACACAATACAATTTAATACAACAAAAACTTATTTGGCTTACTAACAGCACTAACAGCTAGACGACAACAACAATAACAATAATAATACTATATTATATTTATAATAATTTTATATTAATTAATTATACATGAACCTTTTATGACTTCATATTAATTGACAGATGGATTATTTGTTATTCATTTCAAATTCATTCATCATATTACATGACTATTTACTGACTATATAAAGAAAATATAGTGATCATATAATGACAAGAAACTCTGTATTTCAATAATAATAATTATTATATAAATTATTTAGAAATAAAAAATGATTCCATTCTAATTTATTATTAATATTTAAATTAATCAGACATTTATGTGCACTAATAGCTAGACTATAACAACAACAATTATTATTATTATTATTAGTGCACATAGTCTAACAAATTAAATAGAATAAATTATTTAATATTAAATGTCGGATTAATTTAAATGTAATATTAATAATAAATAAGAATGAAATTATTTTTTTATTTCTAAATAATTATTAATTTCAGCAATCATTATTATTGAAATACAGTGTTTCTTGTCATTATATGTTATTTATTATTAGTATTGTTGTTGTTGTCATTATTATTATTACACATTAAGCTTTATAACTTTATATTAATAGCCAGATGGACTAAATGTAATTCAATCCAAATTTATTTGTTACATTTAGTGAAATATTGTAGCTCTGATAACATCTTCATTCAGATGTAAAAGTTTTATGCAAGCTTTTGCTTGCATATGAATTTCTTTACATTTATGTTTAATAGACGTCTCAGTGCTATCAGGGTTAATAAGTTCGATGGGTTTCAGTGAGAATTTAGCACACAGCCTGACTGCTGTAGAATCTGATGAAGTGAAATCATTAGCAGTGAATATGGTTTTCTGCAGATGGATGAGATGTCATACCAGCCTCTCCTCTCAAAGCTCTCTC